TATCAGTTTCATACCCCACCAAGTTGCCGTGGCCGAGTGTGGATTTGAGACCTGGTATCCAAAGTCCGAGCCTGGCACTCTGTTCACTACACCATACTGGGTATCAGAATCACAATGTTACTTACATCTCAGTGGTGATGGGGACTCTATCGACCACCTCTCCCAAATTTCCCAATATATCCTACACAATCCAGATTTAGAATGGAAGCTCTTTGCAGCAGAGAGCCATCATTCAGTTAATTCTGTGATTTGAAATGCCAGAACATTAACCAGTTATTACCAATAATACTATCATAACGACTTTCTTAATCACAAATAAATCGTCATGGTTCATGCATAAGAGCATATTGCTCATAGCTCCAATGAGGCTGCAGCAGTGGAAGCAATCAGTAAATTGCTGCTTAGCCTTTGTAAACTTTTCAAGTAAAAATGGTGAAGATCAAATGATGATTATCTAAAGCAAATCATATAATGTTTTATTTTATTTTCCCCAAGAGTTAGCTCCCAGAAAACTGTTCCCTTATGAGGGCTGGCAAATCTAGGACTTTGAAATGATGATTTTAAACTTATGTGCTATAGATACTGTCCTGAACATGCTTACTAGAGAGTGAGTCCCTTTAAACATAGTGAGGTTACTTCTGAGTACATAAGTGTAAATTTACTCTACTTATTAGGTACAGGAACAATGCAATCCTAGACATGTATACTTACAAGTAAGTCCTACTAGATATAATAGGATTTACACAAGTTTGCTATCCTATCCGCTGTTACTTGGGAATAACTTTTTTTGACTAAGTGGAACTTCTTATAAACTATACATAAACCTATAGTATCAGTAGAATAAATGTCTCCTTCACAGAATCATCTAGGACATTGTACAATTTGAGAAGAAACAATCATGGTGCACCTTATTGGAAGAAAGAGTTCTGAAGCAATCCAACACACCGTAACCTAAGTGTTACTTCAACTGAATGCAGTATTGGTTGCTTCCCCCTCCCCGACTAAACCCTTATAAGACTGTATAGCAACCAGCTTCTTGTGCCAAACCATTTATCGACAAGAATCCACTTCATGAATATATTTCACAAAAGCAATTGCTACTCATTTTAAATATTTGTAAGTATGAGACAATGTCTGGAACAGACTAACCTGGCTACTTCTCCAGAAATGGTGATCACAACCCTTGACTTGTTAACTTCTGTTCAGATTGATTAGTTTGAAAATTGAAACTGAGGTGTTAAAACTTTTCTAATGGAGCATTCTTGTGTGGAAACAAGCCATTTTGTGTCAGAACATGGCACACACACTGTTCTGTTTTTGCATATTGACCACGCAAGCTGCAATCATTTCAGCCACAACCAAGTTGAAATATAGATAAGGTTTAGTTAAGTTTCATGTAACGTCCTGTCTCGAGAATTTGAAAGCCAGCATTATAGATATGAAAGTTCCATTCTCAGGGCTGTGGCAAAGACGGTGATACCAACCAGCTGATTGACTGCTGGGGAACAATCTTCAAAAGGAAAATAAAAGCTGAGAAGGAAAACCTACCAGAGAAACTTATACTGACTCCATCAGTAAAACATTAGAGGAGGTTCCTGCTTACATTTTGCCCTTGCACAGTAATACGTTTCTCACTGCAAGGGCAATTTCCCCACCCCAAAGCTTTGGAAATTAAACTTGTTTAGCAAGAAATGACTTTCTAGAGTTGCACTTCATGCTCATGCTCCCATGATGGGCAACCCACCTGGCAAGAATATTCAAGAAGCAAGAGTAAAATACATCTACTGGGGCTTCAGATAAGAAGGCTAACCAATTTCTGATTGTTTTAATAAGCTTTGCATTTAAAGCCAGTCATCATGGGTTGTCTTATCCCAGAGTATCTTCTAAGAAATTTTGAAGCAATGATAGGTCTGAAGATGGGCATGGACACTTAATGCCCTGTGATGAGACTCAAGGACATATTGGCTAAAACCCAGCTGGCACAACTATACCACATACATGATGATGATGCCATCACCTGCTAATATTAATATTTATTTTATTGTAATTAAAAACTTCTTATCTCCCCTTTCAGGTTCCAAGGTTCCTGCTAGACATTTTCTAACATTACAGTCTCCTATGTGGCTCAAGGCTCCCAAAGATTTCCACAATGCAAAAGGGAGCCTCCAGGGAGCCTCGGAACCTAAAGGGAGGGATAGGAAGCTTTAAATTAAAGTAAAGATTAGTGCTACCAGGTAATAACATCATCAGCGCATGAAGTTGTGCAGCAGGATGTCAGTCATTGCCTAGCAAAGCCAGGAGGAAAAAAAAACTTGTATTGGTGCAGTTGTGTTAAAGACAACAGTTGCCAATGAAAGAAGCCAATTATTTCCAAAAAAATGTCCCAAAGAATCAGGCAAGTAGGCTGTGGTGAACCTCAAGGTCTGGCATCATGTTATGTATGAATTTACACTGAAAGAATGGAAAGTCAATATAGTAGCAATGGCCTTAGTAAACCAGATGCTGAGGGATGTCAAGGCAAGTTGTCGAGGTTGAAGACATTTGTATTTTGCCCTCACCATTTACATATGCATTCATTGACTTCCCAAGATCAGAACTGCATCCTGGCTATTTAAGATGCAGTCCTATGCACACCGCTTTATTTGAAGAAATTCTCAATGGGCACAGTAGGTCTCAATGTGTAAAATATGTAACAATCTTACAATGTGCAGTTTTGAGTAACTGCTCGATATCTAGTGACTGTAGGATAAAACTTTGTAACTCCAATATATAAATAAAAGCAAAGCAATATGGATGGTGAAGATTAATTATGTTAATTAGAAATTCTAAATACAGCAGTGCACTAATGAATATACACAATTATACTTCATGCAGAATTTTCATTTAAAGTCATGGAGATGTATCTGCTACTAAAGGGCACAACATTATAAATATGATGACACTGATGTACAATGGCAGTTCTGAAGGAAAAACTTGGTTTAAAAAATGCATGAGGAGCTCCAAATTAAAATGGCAGGACTTTAGCCCCATTGAAAACATTGGGACAAATTACTCTTGGCTAGCTCAAGTCCCATTAATTTTTGTGGGACTAAAACCAGCTAATATAACATGGATCCATTACTAAGTTTATTAAGAGATAGGGACGATGTGAGTAGTCAATATACTGCTACCTATTTATAGTCACTGGGAGGGGATGCAATATAGGCTTGAATATATTACAGTAAATAGTATGATTATAAATTGTTAGTGTAAGCACAGCTTTCATTGCTTCTATAAAGCTGAGCAAGTGCTTTGATTTCTATGCTCTTTTTTCACATTTGGAAATTGGGTGTATTATTCATTGGACTGCAAAAGTATTTTAATTATTTCTGAATCATTGCCTGGAAAGGGGCATTCTTCTGGCATTTAGTAGATGAGTGTAACTCAAAACTGTGTTGTCTCAAAGTGTCAGAAAGTAAAGGCAGCAATCACAGCCTATACGTGATGTTTTTATTCATCATAATGTTGTGCTAGGAAGATGCTGGCTATATTTTTCTCTGAGTGTTGCTTCCTAAATTGTAAGAGTGACCTCTAGTGCTTCGCTGCTTCGTTATCTTTCCTGGGGTTGTATTTTGTTAGCGATGTTAATATATTTCCCTGCAAGCCTCTACTTTAATTCTGTGCATAGTACCAGGTGTTATTAACTTGTGATTCATGACTGTGTGAAACTGGGTGAATTCACGATAAACCAGAATGTTGCAGGAAATGAAAGATTTCTTGATAAATCTAGAGTCTAGACACATTGCAGCCGAGTGCCTTATAGAAAAAAGTTGTTCTTGTTCAGCAGTAGCCTATGATTTTGTATGTCACAGGAGATACAGTGGCTGAATGACAATAAAATGTCACAGGTCCTGTAGAGTAATTGTCACTTTTACGATTGTCTAGTCCTATGTTTCTGAAGCAGACAGCATGTGATGAAAGTATGGAACTTCCACTTTCCTCTATTACCTAGATGTTCTCAAGCAGCTGTTCCTTCTAACAGTACTGTACAGTAATGTTATTCATGAATCCTGGATTACAGCTATAGCCACTGTTATTTGCACTGTTTCATATGCCACCTCTCTGGAACCTGCTTGAAAAACAGTGCATGTTTTCAGGCACGTATTGGGCACCCACTTAAGGTATTTAATACCCTGTGGTTTAAGGGGGCTTTGAGAATTGTGAGATCAGTTCCCAAGTACATCCAAATGAGTACACTCAAATGTTACTCTATGTTTTGTACATACCACAGATTTGCTACAATATTGCAGGCTACTTACTCTGAATCTCTAACAAATACTAGGTTTCCAGGATACTGGCTCTCTTACTGCACTAACATTTTCCTTACAATTCTAAAGTGCTACCCTTCTCAAACAGAAAGACAGATATAGATATAGGTACCTTTCTGTATTGCTGGCTATGTTCTCCTATCCGGTCACACTTGAACATTACTCTCCCTGAAATCGATGAACATCCCATAAAATCCCATTCTCCACATTTACTCCTCATTACCTTTTCTGCTTTATGGCACCACACACCAGAGCCACTCTTAATTCAAGAGACAGAGGCAGACTCCTGCTTGCCAGGTTTTACCCTGCTTAAAAGAAAAAGCCCTATGTGATGCAGTAGAGAGTACTGTCACACCAATAATCCGAATGACAGACTTAACTCCTCACAAAATACCACGCTGTTGCTGCACAGCTTGCACTGGAAAAGACGAAAGGCAACCACAGGGGAGTCTATAGTTCACCTGGGAAACAAGAATCTCCAGTTATTCGGGAGCTCAGCTTAGTTGGCAGGGCTCTGCTTCTAGCCTGGAGAAACAGGAGCCCTGATACACTTCAGCCCCTGAAACATTTGCATCCCCTCACCTTGCTGTTAAGGTTGCACCAGCCCGGATTAATTGGAAGACCTTCCTTGTCAAGCCCCCCATCATCGCCACCTGAACAATCCAAGTTTTAATGTCCATTTGAAATACTTACATTTGTCTCCTGCTGCTAATATATTCCAGTGATGAACAGGGACCAGGATCAGCAGCTTGAGGAAGATTTCAGTGAAAGAATCCATGTCCTCATGGATTGAGGTGCCCCGAAGTGTCAAAGGATAAGGAAACAGGCACAGCTGCTCTCTGCTTCAGTCTCGCTCTGGCTTCCTCTGCTTTCCGTTCGCTCTTGCTCTCCCTCTTGCTCTGTCTGCCTTTCAGTGCTTCCTAGTAGCCAAAGAGCTCAGCCAAATGCACTCTGCATCTTCTCTCTCTCTCTGTCTCACACAGCAAGATCTGCTCTTTCCCCCTTAATGACAGCAGTCCCTGAAGAGCAGCTGCAAGGATCTCTCCTCTAATTTCACAGAATCACTCAGAGCTCAACTGCTAGACTACCCCGTACAGTTTGGTTAGTGAAGCTTCACATTCATAATGTGTCCTGGACACCCCTTGTGGTGACAGGTAGGAAATGTGAGTCTATGATGAAAGCCAGAACAATAAAGAGAACAGCCTGCACATGTGAGCAAGTACAGCCTCCATCCCCCCAGATTACGACTGTTCCCAATTCTTTACGGTCATGCAGTGGGAGGGGGAAAGGGGGGGGAAGAACCGGAGAGCAGAGAGATGTGAATATTTTGTGCATGCTTTTATTGTGGCCACCCTCTTGCACTCTGTGTTTAAAGACAACTTTCAGCTGCTGCTACAGCTTCCGTTCACAAGCATTGAACAGAGCATTATCATTTTACATCAGAAATTGCTGTCATGTGGGAAAACTGTATTTTGCTTTTATGCATGCCATAAATCTTTCATTCAGCCATGGAATCCCACATTTATCTTCAACTGATACTGCAGGATGTTCCCATGAGAGTATTTCTTTAATAAGAGAGATGTGTGTGTGTGTGTGTGTGTGTGTGTTCTGTGCCGTCAAGTCAGAACCGAATCACAGCAACCCTAATAGGGCTTTCAAAGTAAGTGAGATATTTAAGGAATGATTTTACCAGACCCAATCCCCAGCCAGTTTCTATGGCTAAGTGGGGATTCGAACCCAGTCCAAGTCCATCTCTCTGTCCACTACACCACACTGGGAATAAGAGATGGAGTACCTAAATTCCCACGAATCATACTCCCACAGATATGTTACATGCCACTTCAGAAGCTCAGAAGCTCAGTCTTGCAGTTTAAGTAACACACTCAGGGTATAATCACAAGCATTAAAAAAGAGGAAGCTGGAATGATTTTGAATTACGATAATGATTATTACTTTGCAGAGATGTTAGAGGGATATTCCACAGGACGTGAACTTTTAAATGATATAGGGAGGTGTTTGCAAATCAAACTCGGAGATGAATTACTGGTAAATATGACAAGATTCAGGTGCAATGTAATACCTATTTATTCGGAATTGTGCTGCCCAAGTTATACTGCCACAAAAGGTAAAATTGAATGACATTGCTTCTGCTTGTAGCCCATAATTGTTACTTCCAGCTTTTTATATTGAGTAAAACAGATTCATATTAAACCAGACCAATAAAGAGCAGCATAGCTTTAACCAGTTCTCTAAACTACAAATGTATACTCTGATCCTGTATGTGTTTATAGAAATGTTAGTCTCATCAAAGTCAAAGGAACTTACTCCTGAACAATATTTTTTACAGAAATCCCCAAAAAACTTAATCTAGAGTGATTTTCCCATTCAATTTTTCAAAATAAGAAAACTTCAGATTTACCCATCACAGGACTTGGAAATGGATCTATTTCTATATAATACGTACTCTGATTCTGTAACTAGGCCTAGGAGGTGCAAAATGATTATTTCTGTAGGGAAATACGGACCCAATACATTTCTTTTGTATCCATATCAAGGAAAAAGGTCTTCCTACGTATCACTTTTGTGAATCAAACTAGTGACTGACAGTTGTTTGCAACATCTACTATTTTTCAATGCCTGGAACATTTCATACACCCTACAGATAACAGTAGAAAGCTAAATCCCACTTACTAAAGGTACAACTGCACCACAATGGAAATGCAAATTCACTCTCCTTCACTCACTGTGAGATTGCACTGGGGAATTCAGGTCTGTTTGATTTAAGTGGCCACACTTAAATCGAACTACTTGCAGTTCTTACCTACTGCCCTGCAGGTGGCACTGTTTAGAGAACTGCATTAACAAGCATTGATAAAGAATTCTTCCTATCTCAGTTTCCTCAATTATCAGTTTTTCATGCAGAGCTTTGCTTAAGTTGTTCAGCCTGGGAAAAAAATTAAACAGAAGTGTTGCCCAGGAAGAGAAGCTTAAGAAAAAAAAGTAAAGACGAGTCTGGGGAGAGAGGCTTTCCTTTGAGAGTGTGTGTTGGCTCTTTTTGTGTCTATGTATGTCCTTGTCCCCTCATGAGGTAAGAGGCAAGGAAATAGGAGTGTTGTGTGTATCTGTGCATGTGCAGCTTGTCTTCCCTTTCTGTATCAACTTGAGTCATCACATGCCTGAAGCAATAGGAAAGGATTTGTAATTTTTAAAAGTGGAAGCCTCCTGGGTGGAGGAGAAAAACCTGTGCATCTCAGGGAACTTCAGGCTGGCTCACATTACACAGCGCATCTAGTGACCAACAGATAAAATGCAAATCAGCCTGGCCCCATACTGTACTCCTTCCTGTATTTTTGCTAAGGTGGTTGCCCCTAAATTGGAAATCAACTACTTGGACGGGGCACAAAGTGTCAAAATGTGCCCATAAAATGTAATATGCATATGAATATTTATGCATAAGAAATAAATGGCTGTAAGTGCATGGATATATAATCACACTTAATTTATGCAACTCTTTCCTCTTGGAAGGTAATACTAGGCCAATATATGCACTCACCGGTAGTTCTAAAGAAGGGCATATTTGTGTCTCCAAAGAGCCATCGCGTTCAGCTTTGTGTCATTTGCAGTAACAACGTAACAAAAGCCAAGCTAGAATTTTCATTTATTCCATTTGTTTCTAAAACGTAATAAAGCAAAAACTGAGTAACTTCTAATGAGTCTGATGATGACATACCCAATTTTGATCGTCAACTACTGCCAATTTGAATCCTTTGAATATTTCATTTTGAAACATGCTACCAGTGGCAAATCTTCTAACAGTCATGCACACCGACCAACTTTGAGATTCAATGTTTGTGTAAAAAGAATGATTATGTTAGCCAATAGCCATTGCTGGCTTGGAGTACGATGCACACTGATGGATCGTATCAAACGAAGGGTAAAGGGAATATAGATTTATAGAAAAGTTGTATAAGCCAACTTATATTGTGCATACAAACACATTTAAAATATGTATTACTGATTTAAATATAAATTTATCTCAACTGCAGCCAACTGTCACAGATGACCCATCTGCCTATTCAGACTGCTGTCCAAATGTCAAGTGATGATGGCCAACTCTAGGATCCCTCAGCTTGCCTTCCTTCAGATTAGATTTGAACCAGAAAGCCTTGCAAACAGAGGATGTCATCAACTACATGAAAGTATTACTTAACTCTGTGAAATAGGAGATGACCACACTACTTTTGAGAAAGAGTAGTAACTCAGGTGGGACATGGGTTTTATTGTTTGAAGTCCTAAGACTGGGTAGGTTTCAAGTTCAGTCTATTTTTATGTCAAGAATACAAAGTGTCAATGAATCATAGTATCCAACCAGACAGTTTCTATAATTGGGGCACCACTGGAGGTAAAACAGCAATGTACTTATTCCCAGCACCATTTATTACTGCCATATCACAATACTGTTATAATGACCAAAATCCTGTTACATAAATTGCGATGGCATAAGGGCTATGGCATTGAAGAGTTCCTGCTTACATTCTGGGGCTTACAAAACTTGCATATGGAAGTGATTACACAAAAGCTGTGGAAACCTAAGATTAAAGCAGGAACTCTTTAATTAGTGACACTCTCCCCAGTTGCTGATCCCACATGCTTATACCAGTACAATTTGTGCTATAGGATTTTAACCAAGATCTGTCATGTGATATTATATATTAAATTATACTTTATTATACAAATCCTTGTATTGAAGCAAATAGGTGTTCCTTTCAGTGGATTTCTTTACTCTCAAAAAGAAGTATGCAGCTACAGATCAGATCAAATCACTTTACTTGGAAAGGAAACATATGTAGTAAATAGAAAGGTACTCACATTTGATTCTGATGTGAACTATGAAATTAAAAGGGAATTTCTGAAGAATCCCACTTTTTCTCAAGCTAGCTTATGATCTCTGTATTCACAAAAATACTTTGCACACATTAGGTAATTCAAGATGCACATTAAAATAGGTCAAACATAAAACCCATGATTCTTTATGGGATAATGCTCTTGAAGATTATTTCCAAGCTACCTGAGGGCATCATCACTGCATGGATTGTTATGCCAGTATTACAGAAAAGAGTGGTTGTTAATGAAGCTATAAACAAATATTTGCCCCGTGAAATGGCAGTGATTACTCAAAACGAATGTTAAAAAATGAAACTATTTAATACCTGTAAAATAGGCACTTGTTTGCACCATGGCAATGATAGCTATTGTATCCACAGAGAAACAGCATTAATATTATAACACAGATATTTCTGGCATTCTAGGTTTCACCATTATGATTCACCTTCAAATACCATATGAATCATGGAGTGAAAGCTGGCTGATAACAGCAGAGTAATATTGACTCACCTTGATGACTGCAAGCTCCTATTTGCTCTCATCCCATCACACACATTCCTACCTACAGCTTCTCACACTCCCTCCCTCACTTACATCCATGTACACAATACGTTAATAAAGATGCTCCTTTTTTTATTACTGGAGAAGATACTTGGCCTTCCAAAGGGAAAGCACATCAAATGTAAACTCTTGAAGGACTCAATTTTCACCTCTGCTGCTTTGCCAAACTTTAAACCCGGCTCTTCTCTTGCCTTTTCCAAAGTCCTTCTGACTGTCCTTTTTGTAGTTCACCAACATTAATCATCATGCCATTTAATGCAATCATTGCAGCCTGTTTCCGATGACCCTTCTGTAGAGAAAGGAGGGGGAAAAATCTTTTCTTAAAAAAAGCCACACACACTTCACACTTCCAATGTAGAAGACCCATGCCTCATTTCATATTGCACAGGACATTTTTTTGCACAAAGCAACCACATGGGTGCAGGCAATGATATGCTTTTTTCTGTTCTGTGCTAATAATGCAGTCCCTTAGGTGGGAAGCATTTCCATTTGACGAAATAGTGTCTGCATGTTTGCTCAAGTGGTTACTTTGTTCACACATTACTAGAACAATTCAAAATGAAGCCACATAGGAGATACAGTAATCCCATATTCCTGGTGGTGGTCCTGTGATGTCTTGTCTGCGACAGTTTCATGGTTGCCACTACAGTAGAAGTGACTACCACACCTAGAAATTTGCTTGTTTCCATGAAGTGGTAACAGTCAAATGCAATAAATCCA